GGACGCATCAGCGTGGCAGACTTGCATGATTCACGGACGCATGAGCATGGGGACATAAATCCGAATGGGTTCATCGTTAAGAAGGCGAGCAGCACGTCCGCCAGGACGTGCGGTCGTGGACGACGGGGACGTTGTTTGCTTGCGAACAAGCAAGACCAAACCACCCATCCGAGGATAGAGGAGCAATGGAGGCCGAAGGCGAATGCGCGCGAGCGGTTGACACCAAACGCGACAAAGACTCCGAAGAGCCGGGGTCTGCAGGAGGCTGCAAAGCAGGAACAACCGCAGTTGTGGTAGGCGTCGGAGACGCAGGCTACACTCCATGAGCCAGAGGCGTGGAGGGAGTCGAGGATGAACCACCAGCACCAGTAGTCGAAACCCAACTGGGCAAGGCTGGTGTCATCGACGGCGCCTTCGTCGCCGTCGGAGACCGCCGAAACGGTCGAGAGGGAGCGGAAATCCTCGTGGGAGACAAAGCAGGCTCATCGTCAGAAAAACCATAATCAACAGGCGGGAGTGGCGTGCCTGCCACAGCTGCCTTGCGACGGCGAGTCCTGGTGGAGATCACTTGGGTGGGGTCGAGGATCCGACGCGGGTTGCCACGAGCGGGAACGGCAGACGGAGGCTCGGACTCGAGAGCCAAAACATCATCGAAAGATTGAGGTAGGGAACCGGACCAAACGATGGGAGGTCGATTGCGCAATCGCGACCGTGCCGAACGGCAGAACATCTCGGATGGCAAGGGAGCGATCTTGGGCGGCAAGGAAGCGACGTTCCAAATGTCCGATGAAGACGAGGGGCCTGGTGACGGTAGACGCGGACCGTGCCGACGGAAATCAGCGAAGTCAGCCGTACAGGGGGCAAGCCCACCCAAGACCGAAGTCGGGGGATTAGGAACTAGCCCACCCAAGCCAATACCCGCGGCCCGATCACCGGAAGGGGTAAGGCCACACGAAGAGATGAAAAACACCGCCTCTTCATCCTCAGCCGGGGTCAGACGGGTGCGACCCGAACGGTCGCATTCAGCCGCAGCGACTGGGAGGCGTGAGAGGAAATCAGCGTTGCCATTTTCGGAACCCTTGCGATACTGGAGAGTGTGATTATAGGCGGTAAGAAATTCCAGCCAGCGCTGAACGCGGGCATTGTTCTCCCCCACCTTAGCAAAATACTCGAGAGATTTGTGGTCGGTAAAAATGCCAAATTTTGTACCCCACATGTAGCCGCGAAGGCGCTTGATACACCACACGATGCTACCCGCTTCGAGATCGAGGGGATTCCAGTGGCGTTCTGAGTCCAAAGTAGCCTGACTGAAGAAGGCAATTGGGCATCGAACCATCTGGCTGTTATTGTTCGAGAGTCCCACCAAACCCATCGCGACTAGCGTCACAGTAAAAGATGAAAAGGTCGCGAGCCGTCTGAAACACCATCCCACTCTGGATAAACCAAAACAGGGGGATTGGCCAACTCAGCTAACATAACGCGAACGGCTTGCTCCATGGAAGGGGTGAAGATTAACTTCTCCTGCTTCTTGAGTAGAGTAGTCAGAGGTCGAATGCGTTTAGCCGTATTGGGGAGGAACTTACGGTAGTAGCTGAGACCACCGAGAAGGGAACGCAGTTGCTTGACATCCCTGGGCATAGGCATTTTGGTGAGGGCCGAAACCTTGGCACCGTTAGGCCTAACGCCGTCAGGGGAGATGGTGTGTCCGAGGAAGTCTGCTTCAGTAGCACCAATAGTAGAATCGGAGGCGTGAGTTTCAAGTTGTGCGTCCGCAAGCGTTCAAAGAGTGCGCGCATGGTACCAACATGAGTAGCAGGGGTGTCATCGAAGACGATCAAATCATCCAAGTACGATGCAACACCGTGGAGATTATTGATGACTTCCAGGGGCAGCCGAACTGCCTTGAGGCATCTTCAACCACTCGAAAAGTCCGGAAGACGTCACGAATGCCGTCAAAGGGATTGTATCGCGGTGCACCGTGATTTGGTGGAACGAAGATTTCATGTCGAGAAGGGAATAAATTCGCCCTTTCAACAACTTGTCCAAAGTATCATCGACTCGAGGAATCGGAAGCTGACTCAAAGCACAAAGCTTGTTGAGCTTACGACAATTGACGGTGATGCGAACACCACCAGATTTCTTCGGTATGACTACCAAAGGGCTCGAGTAAGGCGAGGTCGAATGTTGGATCAAACCTGCCGCAAGATATTGGTCAAGGATCGCGTCAACTTGTTTCGCCACCGAGGGATTAACGCGGTAGGGGCGATACGTGACGGGTGCGCTGCCAGGAGGAACTGTAAGCTTAAAAGGAAAACGCGAACAAGATCCAAAGTCGGTCAGAGAACTCGAAAACACATCATGGTATTCGCACAAAACGTTACCAAGCTGAGTAGTGACATCGGGAGTCCAACCCGGGCCGTGGAGATCAAAAGTAACCTCACGGAGATGGCACGGGAGCTTATACCAGACTTGGGAGAATTTTTGACGCTGTTCTAGCGTCAACCGCTCGAGAAGTGCAGGCGGAGGCGACGAGGAGGGAGAACTGGCGGAACCAAAGTCCCCTCGGTCGCTTGGCGACGGGATGGGTCGCTCGTGTAAATTATACACAAAGGGGGCAGAGACGGAGTGCGTGGCAGACGAATCAATGCCACCCGCAGAAACAGGACCAGGGACCCAGCTGTCTGAAGCAGCGGTGGATTCTGAAGCCGCAGTGGATTATGAAGCCGCAGTTTCGAGACCATCACTCAAACTGTGGCGAGAAACAGCGTTAAGAGGCACGCGAAGAAGGGGAGCCGAAGCTGTACCCAGGACGTCGCCGGGTTCGAGAGACGAGATGCCCGCAAGAGGGATTCGTTGGCAACCATTTTGCACAAAATGTTCCCCGGAAGAAAACATAGCACATTGGGGGAGCATATCCACCAAATAGTTACTCACAAGGGCAGGCGAACCATCATTGCGTACCAAATTTACCTGAATGAGGCTATGCTCTGGGTGAAGTTGAACGGAAGGTTTGCCTGCATAGCGAAGTTGGTAACTTCCATCTGTTGCGGACAGATCGTGAGCAAATGCAGTGGCACCGCAAGCGTCATGTTAGGCTAAAGTAAGATCACCAAAGACAAGGTCACCAGGACGTTTCGCACGCAAAGTGCGGTAAGAACGGTCACTAAACCGCATCCAACTATCTCTGCCGAGGAGCACGTCATGATGCATGACGCCGTCAGGAACAACGTATGCCCAAACAGCAAGAGAGGAAGTAGGAAGGTTCTTACGGAGAAACTGAACACTCAAACGGACAATGGTCGAAGTTTGGAGCGGGGCAGATTTCCCAAAACCACCCCAACAGCGAGGTTGGGTGTGTTTTTCAGACAACGTCGAAGCAGCCGAAGCCGCGCTCATGGATTCCCATGCAGAAGCACTAATAAAAGACTGCGGAGAACCCGTATTCAAAAAAGCGATACACCCAAACTGCACAGAGACCGAACCGCTGTGGAGAAGGATTCTGGTGGTGAAAGAGTCGTCATCGATGGTAACAACACCGCCAACCAAATCCGGACCTTGCTCTGGGAGCGAGGAGGAAGACAACGGGATGTATTCTGAAGACACGGCCCAAACGGCGGTGTCGTCATCCGACGGGACGTTCGGAGCGTATTGCGAAAATGACGCGAACCGGTAGGTCGATGGAGGGCACGAAGCCGTCCGAAGGCGCTGGTGTGTGGAAGGGTTAACTTCATACACCGCAGAATGAAGGGACGACGTCGGAAGGTGGTCGGTCGGAGGCAGCAAACGAAAGCTGCGCTCGGGAGGCGGGGCCCGGTGTCGTAAAAGACGGCGTACGTTCTGTAGGGTGGCGCCTAACAGGTTGAGGCCGCGCCATCTAGATGTGCATCTAGCGTCAGGATGATCGGCCTGGGGGCCAATGCCCCAAACACGGTCGTAAGGACTGGCTTCGGCAAGGATTTTGTCACCAGATCCGAGGAGATGATTTCGTAACTCGGAATTTTGACATTCTTGCGTATGAGCCGGTGAGCACAATGTTTTCGTGTTCTTGTTCCCAAAGAGATTGGTCGAAACCATGGACCTCATGGCCAAACTTTTTGTGTAAGGCCGGGTCTGACACTCGCATGATGTTCTGCAAAGCACAGCGATCTCCGAAAAGACGGGCTTTTCCTGCAGCGAAAAATTGTTCGGCACACGAGAAAACAACGCCATCGACCGTGAAAGTCGACGGTGTCCATTGGGAAGAAGGGGAGGGCGGCTTCCAGAAGAAAACCATGTCTGGAGTACAATACTCGGTAGACGGGTCGAAAACCACCGAAGCAACAGAGGCCGGAGCGCCCTGAGTACTGTTAATTGAAGCTGGAGTCGCAGCCGAAGATGCGGAGTCATGATGGACAGTATGTACATCCATTGGGGTGGTCCTTGTAACAGCGGGAACCGACGAAGAATCGACTTGAGTCGGATTGTTCGTAATTGGGCCAGCAACACTGGGCTGGGTGCACCCCAATTCTAAACCTGAAGAAACGCCTCGTAAGGTGCTCGGCAACGGGTCGTTTTCGCTGAGAACGGCTGCCAAAGCCGGGTTAGTTGAAGAACTGAACCGAGCATGGCGCTCCTGGCTATTCCCCCGTGACAAGGTACGCGAGACCGCCGGCTGTTCGGAGGTCACTTCGGG